CCTGAAGTTTCCGGATTTCGTACATACCTTGAAAATAAGGGCTTGCCAAATGTTTTGCTCTGATATATGAGGTTAAATAAGTAGTGGTCCAATCGCATATTGCTTTACTCGTACTGTCATGCCTGAACTAACCTAAATCGAGTCCAACCGCACTACTATTGTGATATTTTTTTAATTAGTAAATAATTAAATACGATTAAATCGTGCGTGTAAAATCATATTATATTATTATAATTATTGGGATGTTGTGTAATGTTTGTCAATATGTTTGTTTTCAATTACCTCATGACGGACTGTTACTTGACTAGCTGGGTCCGCGAAAGGACCACCTTAAGAAATGAAACAGACTTACAGAGATCAAGTTCTATTCCGAGCACAAGGCATTTTTAGACGGCGGTGAAATTGTGAAAATTAATCCCGTTCTGGATCACCAATAACATGAACAATTTGGTGATTCAAATTTAATTTAATTGATCACCAATTATTCTCACCGTCAACTTTTTAAATGTTTCTCTGTCACGTTATCTTGAAATTTGACACAGAATTGCTGTGTCAAACTTCACATAACGCTGCTCGATTTTCTTGTATTCCATTTTTGTGACGCATCAACATACAGTTATACAAATAATTGTAGAATCACATGTGTTAGTGTTATCAAATTAAAATTTTAACTGAAAGTAGAGTATGAATGTAGCTCTCGATATACTGCAGTCTCGTTTTTACAGTGTTACCAGTTGTTGAGAAAAAAAATCAGTCTCATTATTTTTTAAACAGACCACTTATTACTGCCAGTCATAACTATTACAAAAGCACCAGCTTTAAAATAACATCAGTCAAAATTAAAATAAATTGGAATAACAAACATAACTTGTTAAAAAAAAATAAACTTTCCAATTAAAAAATACCACGCACGCACACACACACACACACACGCACGCACGCATGCACGCACGCACGCACACACACACACACACACACACACACACACACACACACACACACACACACAATCTGTAACTTTAAAATTTTCAAAATAAATAATCACTGTATTTATCGTCATTTTCTTCTTCATTCTGTTCTCTACTATTTTTCTCCCCTGAGGTAATGTTGTTGCTCAGCCATATGCTAACCGTTTTTGTTACAAAGAGCAATCCTGATGACTTTTGTACTTCAAGAGGACAGTATCTGAATACAAACAGGAAATAATAAACCTGAATTTAATAGCCACGAACTTTACAGAATTGATTGTTTATAGCACAGTTCATAAGTGACGCACCTGATATAAGTGACCCAGTTTTTGTCGTCTTAAGCCCACTCTTCATGGAGGTCCCACGCCAGTTAAACTTTTTCTTCAAATCTTTAGAAAATATGTAACAGCATATATTTCTCGTCATTTTCTCACATGAATTAAAGATGTAGCATTTTATTGAAAGATATTTTACCTGCAATGTATGAACATGTTCAATAATAGATACAGACCATAGAAAATAAATAAAACAATAACTAAAAAAAATTTTAAAGAAATACAGTAAAAGAAAAATTTATCTTTTTCTCGAGAAAAGACTCAAACTTCAAGAAGGCTTTAACATCAGGTAGAGGGAAGATATCTGACCATCCTTGTGGCTTCGTTAACTGCTAAGAATCATCATTTCCTACATGTATCAGAATATTCTCCAGCATTGCGTCATGATTTCTTAATTTGGCTTTTATTTCTTCTTGGTTCTTAATGATTTCTTGAAAGGTTCTCTTTATCCCTAAAAAATTTTAAACAAAAAGTTTTGATAAATGTTTTGTCCACATAGTTTACAATGCATTGCAAGTAAACACTGCTATGCAAAAGAAGTATCAAGAAGAATAAAAGTAATTTGCAGTATTAAGGGCCATTCTACAATACGTCGCAAATGATGGCAACTGTTAGTTGAAAAGTGTTATTTCCGGTTGTGCTTGTCAGTTGCGGTTGTCAAAAGAGAGTTGACAAACTTTTAACTTTGTTAGCGACAGCAACTGGCAATTTGGCAATCAGAAATAACACTTTTCAACTAGCAGTTGACATTTTTCGCGACGTATTGTAGAACGGCCCTAACTTATACCATCAAACGGATATGATTGCTTGCGACTCATGGAAGCAGGAGTTCGAACATGGTAAAAATTGCCTTGGATTCTTTGAGTGGGCATTATTGCAAGAAACACATAAGAGAGAATACAATTATTAATTTGATGAAGAAAATCCAACCAGGGTGATGACTGCATTTAGTATTACCTCTCGTATTGTTGTTTGACCTCTCATACTGTTGTTTGAGGTGTTCTGGTGGAGAGATGTTGTGATGTCTAGGTGAACATTCGAAAGAAAGTACTCTTTTGGCCGAATTCCTTGGAGGTGACTCACATTCATGTCACGTACGAGTTTGGCTCGCAAGTTCGGCTCGGTTCTGTTTTTATTTGTTCGTGGGTAGGATGTCACGAGCCGGACTCGGCGTCAGATGAGCCAAGTTCGCACATTTTCCTTTCATGTGTGGTGAAAAACGTTCGAGTCCGGCTCGCAAATCAAGCTCGCCGAGCCGGACTTGCGAGCCAAACTCATACGTGGATGGGTCGTTTAACTGTAAATTCTAACCTTTTTTTCAACCGGCTTCATGTCTGCTTTGATCAATAAACTTAACTTCGTCTTTCTTTTTGGCACTTGTCTTCGGGAAAAAGTTAATGCAGCCAGCTGTTCGATGAATAATAAGACTGATGAACGTTCTGTCGCAATGCCGCTAGACATACAACGCGCGGCCTGACGCGCCGTTTCTCCCCTCTACACACACAAGACGCATGCGTGAAACGAGCCTCGATTCTTGAATTCATTCGCAAGAGAAATGCGAAATGCGAATATGCGAAAATTCTGTTTTTACAGAAACGTTGCATTTGTTGATTGGTTAAAAGTTATGCAATAGCCAATCGATTTGCAACTTTTTTGTAAGAACAATTTAAGGTCCACAAGTCTGAAATCCTGATGACTATAATATATATCTCAAAGTGTGTAAAATTGCAAAACATACAAAATTGAAAAAACTTAAAAATTTAAATGTTTTATAATAAGTCAAAAGCTACTCATTTAATTATTTTATAAAACCCGTCATTTATTTAACCAAATGCTTAATTTGCATTAATTACAAATTAAATACGCATTTAAATGCGCACATTTTGAATACACAATTAATATGTGGTTTTGGAACCAATTGGTGCAATCGTACGCGCATTAAAAGCACATTATACGCGCATTGGCGCTCTTTGGGTCGTTTGTTGACTTATTTACATTCTTTCAGACCCTAACCCTACCACAAGCAAGCATCTAATTTTTAGTACTTTTATATTGGTACTAATGGAAATCTTACTTGAAAGTTGTGAAGCTATTTTAGCTTGGTGGGAGTAAGATAAGCCTCAACGTGTAAACGCAACTCACCTTAAGTAGGAGTTATAACATCAGCGTTACTAACAAAAGTCGAAGTTAGAAGCCGTGTAAACGTACTCTATGACAGCGTATTGTCAAAATGGTCGCGAGACCAATTCGCACTTCGTTTTCAATAAATCTTAGAGACAAAGGTTGCACACACGTCGCACACATGTTTTTTGTCATTTGTTGCAATTCGACAACTCGTCGGTCTTTCACGCACAGCTCTTCAGGTTCGGCGACTTCATGTTTCCTTCTCTTCGCAGCTTGTCGCACATTCTCTTTCAATTCTTCCTTTCGTTTTGTTGTAAATTTTCCAGATTTACACCGCAATCTCGTGCCGTTTGACAAGCTCGCCATAGTTTGTTTTATTCGCGGGCGCCGCGGGCACAGTGATACCAATGGGCGAATTTAGCGCACAGAACAGTTGTGGATTTATGCGCTGAATAAAGCCCGTGGCACATAGAAAAACTTAAACAGTAAAACTCAAGCAGTAAGCAAATCAGCCAATCACAGTCAAGAACTTAAGGCACGGCCCTAAGCGGTAGCGAATCCATACCGTTGATTTCTTACTGCTTAAGTTTTACTGCTTAAGTTTTTCTATGTGCCAAGGCCCTAACCTGTGATCCGGAGCGCTCCCACAACATGTGGCGGTAGCGGACGCAGAAACGCAGCAGCCAATTAGGACTTGCGCTGGTAGTAAGCAGAATGTACTGTGCATGCATACTGTTGTATGCTTACTACCAGCGTAAGTCCTAATTGGCTGCTGCGTTTCTGCTTTCTGCTATTCTGCCAAGATGTGAATTCTCCCTAACAGTTATCGTCAAGAAAGATATGAGTCAAATCAGCAATTCAATACAGAGTAAAGAATAAATAAATGCAATTTCTACGGTATATATCTCTTACTTCGAAGCATAGTATATCGTTTTTTTAACAACTATATTTTAAATATCTTTGTTGGCCGGTAAATGCAATTTTGAGATTTTACATATACAGTTGGTCAACGGATTCAACAGCAGACGACGTATTCCCTTAACAGAATAATCACAATTTTATTTTTGCATTGATATCATTGGAATTACTTTGGAATTTTTTATTACTAGTTTTTTATTATAATTGGAATTGTGTGTGTGTGTGTGTGTGTGTGTGCTCCATATTATTATACAAAAATTAGATTATTAGATATTTTTTAATAAAAAAATGTGTATTTACAAAATTTGTACAATTTTTTTATCATTCCGTGATGTCTTGGAATAAGCGAAAAGAGAATGCAATAGTTCTTGTAGGAAGAGTAATAACATTTTTGTTTATCTATGCAGTTGGACCAGATGCAATTGGCGTTGCCTAGCAGAGATTATTACTTGAAGAAGGTTAGCGAAGTTCAGCTGAAAGCTTATCACAATTACATGACAAACGTCGCCATTTTGTTGGGAGCAAATCCTCATTCGGCGCCCGAAGAGTTCGATCGAGTGATTGCTTTAGAAAAACAGCTTGCTAACGTATGTCTTTTCTCTAGATTTTTTATGTAGGTTAAAAAAGATGATAAAAAGACATTCATTTTTTAATAATTAAAATTAATCAGAGAGAGGAGGGAGAGAGGGTGAGAAGGTGAAGGGTAAGAGGGAGAGAGGGAGAAGGAGAGAGAGATTTTTTTTATTGATTGATTAATTGAGCTTTATTAGCCTTCTCGGCTCATTCTTACATAAAATGTTTTTACATTAATTTTTCTACATGAGGTCCAACCTAAACTGACCCAAATTACCGACAATTACAAGGAGAGTTCCAACTTTGAGTAGACTGTACAGAACTTAAAAATTTTTGTACACAATTGAAATATGCACGAAAACAAATCGTGCGACTGTTGATTTTAAGACAAAAATCGGAAAAAATTAAAAAAATACATTTTTGAGCTGTCACTTACCGTAAACGTTTGCTTAATACAGGAGTTGTACAGTTTGTATGTACAAAATGAGATATACGCACCATTCGTATAATGTGAACAAAGAATACCGTACATGAAAAACTAAAATTAAAAACGTAACAAAAATGTTTGAGCTTTCGCTACTATTTTGTGCAAAAGTACATGCAGGTTGAAGCAGTATTGCGTGCAACGAGAGATGGCGCAGCGATCGAATAAGGACAGATTACTTACTATAGTTAGATAAGGACAGATATAGAGAAAACAGGATTAGAAATGTTGACATTATCGACATCGAGAAAGTTCGGGCTTTGCTATAGGATCCTTTTAAGGGAATCCTCGACGTCGATAATGTCAACATTTCTAATCCTGTTTTCTCTATATCTGTCTTTATCTAACTATAGTAATCCATCCTTGTTTGATCGCTGCGTCATCTCTCGCTACACGCAATACTGCTTATCCTATCAACCTGCATGTGCTTTTGCACATACAAAAGTTAAAAGCATGCAACTTTTTTTCTAGGCTTTTAATCTTAGTTCTAATTGCATGATATTGTTCTTAAATGTTTTCCCTAGAGGGCTTGGTATCTCATTTTTGTATATATAAATTGCAGTATTTTTGTATAAGCAAATATTGTCGTCAGTGACAGCTCTCTATGTGCCTAATTTTTTTTTTTTTTTTTTTACGTAAAACCGACCCTAGCCCTCTACATTTTTGTGCGTACTTTAATTCTGTACAAGAATTTTGCAAGTTCGTAAAGCCAATTAAAAGTTGTATGCTTTTAACTAAAATGTCGGTAATTACTGCCACTATAGGATCCCCTTAAATGATTCGATTCTTTCACATATTGCTTTAATTCTATCGGTAGGGCGTTATATATATTTAAATCTTTATAAAACAAACTTTTTTGCCCACTTTTCGTTCTACAAAATTGTATTGCAATACTCCCGGTCTGTCTATATAGTTTGCCGTCCACTCACGTCTCCTACTATTTCTATCCTACTACTTTTGTGCCACTTGCAGTCGATTCAGTTGCGTTTCACCCATGTTCACTAACATCGTTGCACAATATTCAAAATATATGATAAATATATTACATATATACATATAACAATATATGGAGTGTAATCTGATCTTTGGTTCAAATCGGACCATATCTGCTCAGATTGAACTATATCTGTGAATTTTATCGAAACAGTCCAGATCTGACTGTATCTGTTTAGATATAACTATACTCGAATGTGATCCAAAATACATTTCATCTGACCATATCTGTCCAGATATAAGTCGAACTGAAGTTGTGTTTGATCGAAAACTGTTTAGGTATGACGATATCTGGCCATGTTTAACTATAATAAATTAAATGTTCGATGATATTCGTCTAATGTGATATTTAAATATATAAATATAAATTTATTTATACGTGGCAAATTAAAGATATTCAATTAAATATCTTTGATATAATTATATAAAAATAATTTATGATAAATATATAATTTGCAGAAAACAAATATTTTTTATAAACAAAAAAATGTTAGTTATTTGTTATAAAAACATTTTCATCAATTCGCCTTATATCTAAAATACAAAAGACAATCACAGAAATATAAGTTATTTCGTACATTGTAAGCTTACAGATGATAAATAACAAAAGTGAAGAAATTCTCAATTTGGTTATTATTTAATAGCTAGATTACATTAAAAATTTTGTTAAAGTTATTTGAAGACTTGCATAAATAATTACCAACTTGAATAAAAATTATTAGAGACTACATTTTTTTACTTTAATTAATAAGAATTATTTACTGGTTATACAGGGTGTAACAAACAGATTGGAAATCTATTGTTGTAAAAAAAACAGAAAAAATATTATTTTAAAAAATTTGATTGCATTTTGTAGACGCAAATTCAATTTTAGAAAATTGCAAATGTAAAGATTAATAAAAATTAACATCTATTATTATTCGATTCCTTTCATTATTCTACGTATAAAAGTATGAAAGTAAAGTTATCGAAAAATGAATACTTTATGAGGTATCTCATATTTTATATTAAAAATGTTATGACAAAATTTAAAATATTTCAGGAAATTCTTAATAAAGGAGAGCTTTATCTTGGTGTTTTGAAAACGTCTCGACAAGAGTTACAAGAATATGACATAAAAAATAGGGGTCCCCGTTTAAAGAACTCAATATGACCTTGATATGACTTTCTTAAGATCGTTCAAGGTTAAATCAATATCACTAAAACTCTAAAACTCTAAAATCTAAAACTTTTGTATAAAATATTTCTTCCAAAAACGTCTTTCCGAGATAATTCAGTGTTCCGACCTTTTTGTTGTACTCTGTGCAAATGTCGGATCATTCGATAGATGGCATTCGATGAGATCCGTTTCTTGTATTTAAAATATGACAAACGATAGTATAAGAATGGTATATAAATCAAGTGTACGATACAATTTATATCATCAATTGTATCGCACGTTCATAATAAAGTGGCACACACAATTTCAAATTGAATCGATATATTTATGGTTTTATAACATTTTACATCTCTTTATAATTTTCAATTATATCTGAGCAAATCTGGGTACATTCGGTAAATAACATAGGCCCACAAAAAAAGAAAAGTTGTCTGCGCCATGAACTAGACCATGGTATTCTCATGTATTTTCGCCTGCTGAAACCGAATATGACCTCAGCACAGTACAAGCAGTACATACAAGCATTAGTATGAAAAGGTTATGGCATTTTTAGTTTGGTTGTTTGGAGCATAGAGATATAAGAATAGAGTGCGCGAGCGAGCTGAAAAAGCGATATAGAAATAGAAAGAGAAAGCTGCGCAGAATAGAAAGAGAAAGCTGCCCATGGGCCCCTTCTGTCTTTGTTTCGCATGCACGCGTAGACAAAGACAGAAAGGGCCTATATGCAGCGTTCTTTTTTTATTCCTATATCGCAGCCTCTTACGTGCTAGCATATGACTCGCGCACTGTATTCTTATATCTCTATGGTTTGGAGTTGAGTGAGCTACGGAGTTTGATGTTAAGTTGTGGAATTTAATGAATTTTCCAAGGTGTTTTTGGCTGTAGAAAGAAATCCTGACGTGTAGGGGCAAAACTGAGGTCATATTTCAATAGGCGAAAATAATAGGAATACTATGGCACAGACAACTTTTCTTTTTTTTGTGGACCTATGTAATTATATCTGGCAGATCAAGTTATATCTGTTCAGATCTGGTCAGATAAAAACAATTTGCACATCAAATTATATCTGGCCAGATCTGATGAACCAGATCTGGTCATATTTTGGTAGATCTAATTCTTTTTTCCCGGGATGTTAAACAGCATATTCAATTTCTTTTCCAACTCCTCACAACTTTCTCCTATCACATAAAACAATGTATCATCCGCAAATATTCTTACATTACTTTCTCTTAAGCACGTTTTTACTATGTTATTTATATAATAAATAATAAGTAATGAGAACCCCAACACCGATTCTTATGGGCCTCCAAATATGGTTTTAATAAGTTTAGACCATTTACCCTTAAACCTAATTTTTTGCGTTCTATTGCTTAAATACGATCGCAGCCATTCTAGCACAGATCTTCTGATTCTGTATTGATATAGTTTTTTTAGCCTATAGTCTTTCCCGATCTACAGTCTCAAACGCTCGCTTAAGGTTTATAAAAGTTACTCCTATCATTTTTCCTGTGCTAACCATTAATTTCCAATGATCCATTACTAGCCCAGTAAAATGACAAAATTTGGAAGAAATAATACTGAGTGGGCTGAAACTTTGTAAACCGGCTTGTTTTAGGGTACTATTTAACATATTAAAAGTCCCCATGTGTAGACGCTACGTTGCGGGCAGGGGAGGGTCCAAAAGGTCCAAAAAACCAGTTTTTCGCAAATAACTCGGAAAATGTCAACTTTACGGAAATTTATGTAGATATAAAAATTGTAGCTTACAAAATTTCGCACAATTTTGTTTTTTATTCAACGACCAAATGGACCAGAGATAGAATTTTTTTAAACACCGGTAGTTTTGCGACGCAACGAAAACGCGTATGCGCGTCGCGCATTTTTCGCTAATATCTCGAAAATGGACTCTCTGTGGGAAAATAGGGACGCAATTGCGAATACGTTTAAACGAGTTTATTATACGGCGGCGGTCAGATACAGAGAGAGCTGGCTCGCGATCGGGATACATATATATATATATATATATATATATATATATATCAGTGGTGGGGGATAGACGGCGTAGTGTTACGCAAGTAGTTTCCTCGCGTGGCTGTGCGCTGCGTCCTTAGGGCACGCTAATAATGCATGCACGACTTGTTTTCTGTGCGGGAGCTTTTTGATTCTCCAACACCCCCTCTCAAAAAGATACCTGTAACAGAGCAAACAAACACACAAGAAAAAAACAAAATAGTTAGTACTCCATGCCCATGTTCTTGGTACAATTTTGATGTAAGGTTGTATTCAACCCTTTAGTGAGTACGTCCGCCGTCATCTTTTCGGTTGGGACATACTCCACTTTTATTTCCTTCCTTTTGATTACTTCACGAATGAAATGA